GGTTTTCTATATTTTCTCCAAAACACACGGATTATCTTCTGAACACAACCAAAATTTTTTCATTTTTTTTTCTTTTTAAGTAAAAAAATGCAAAAGTAAAACTTACTATTTGTAGAAAATTGAAAACATATAGATAATGAAAACAGAGCACATCCAATAGCTACTGCCAATATTTACATACCACATATAAATATTTACATATATAAATATTACATACCAAATATAAATATTTATATACCGCACATAGGTACATAAATATTATATCTTGTACAGTCAGCTCTCCATACCCATGGGTTCCATATCTATGGATTCAGCAAATCATGGGTAGAAAACATTTGAAAAAAATAATTGACTGTACTGAACACATACAAACTTCTTTCTTGTCATGATCCCATACAAAATATAGTATAATAATTATTTACCTATTTATATTATGTAGGTATTATAAGTAATCTAGAGATGCTTTAAAGCATCCAAGAGGATATGCAAATTATATAAGGTATTTGAGCATCTTTGGACTTTGGCATAGGAGAGTGGATCTTGGAACCAATAGCCTGCAGGTACCAAGAGATGACTGAAAACACACACACACACACACACACACACACACACACACTCACATCCATGACATAAATGTAATATATTCTTTATCTTTGCAATAAAAATATGATTATGCTGTACTTTTGATTTAGTAACCTGCTTTTTCACCTAATCAGATATCTTAATATCTTTCTACTCCAATACAGTTTAAGAACATCTCTTTTTAATAATTACATAATATTCCATTGCAAGAACATGGTTATTTAAGTATCTGTTCCCTACTGTAGAACATGGAGATTATTTCCAGTTATTTTCATTGTAGACAATTCTGCATCGAACTTCTTTGTAGATAGCCACTGTGTACTTCTCTGATTGTCTTAAGATAACCCCTAGAAATGGACTTGCTTGGCTGTAGGGAACACACATTTTTGGAAAAATAAGCATTTGATAATATCTTTACATAGCCTTCCCATTCTGCTTTGGTCCTGGCTCTATTTCTTAGAGCTCATTGGTCTCCTGAGTGATCACATCCAGAGTGTTAACAGTGTCCCTTCTTCTTTTCTGTCTACAAATGCTAGCTTGTAGTGTGACGAAACATGTCAACCGTTGCTGCATCTCCCCCATTCCACTCACTTGCATCGGAGGGCCTTTCTCTAGCCATGGCATGGTGCAACTTCCAAACAGAGGTGGCAAGTGTCTTTAATTTCAAGTGTTTGAAGTTACAGATGTAAGATCTCCCACCTTCCAAGGTGTAACCTCGCTAGGGAGGCAAGGTAGGAACTGCTTTAAGTCCAGGGGGACCTGAGTCAAACTTCCCAGGGAGTCTGGGGGAGTCCCCAGGCTTCAGGTAAGTTCCACACCTAGAACTTCCTTCCTCATCTAGAAAGGCCTGCATAGTGTATAACTGGGTGCATGGTATGTAGACAGGGGAAGCCTTCCTGTCCCCCAGAGCCTCAGAATGCAGAGCCTTGGGCATCTGATTGGCCCTCCAGCTGGTGTACAGAGGATGACAGGGAGAGGGAGAGGGAGAGGGACAGGAGGCAGAGAAGGAAGAAGAGAGAAGAGAGAGCAAACAACCCAGAGCTGGGAGGCCCAGAGAGGCTCCCTGCTGAGATGAGAGTGGAGGGTGGATGGGCCAGGTGGATGGGGACATAGCAGCACCCCAGCTTGCCAGCCTGCAGCAGGAGCAAGGTCAGGGTGGGAGGAGTTACATTTGAAGGCAGAGGTGAGCGTGGCACTGAAACAGAGGTAGATCCCTTCCTTCATCGCACACGGGGACCCTCCCGTTACACACACAGACACACATGCACACACATACACAACAGAAACAGAGATTAAAAAGCACTGCTGTTGACTTAGTTTATTTGAAAGTCACTAGATTAATGATTCTACATGGACCAGAACAGAAAGAAAGTCTATCCAACGGAGGGGGTGGGGAGAAAGAGAGAGGAATGAATTTTTTTAAAATTAATTTTTTTTGTTGTAGATGGACACGATACCTTTATTTTATTATTATTATTTTTTAATGTGGTGCTGAGGATCGAACCCACACATGCTAGGCAAGCCCTCTCTCTCTGAGCCACAACCCCAGCCTATGGAATGAACTTTTGTAGTCTTCGCATTGACTAAAAATTTTTACACTTCTTTTAACCACCAGGGCCTAAGAAAATATATAATGTTTTACATATTTCCAAACAAATACTCCTTTTATTTAATATATGTGCAGTGGTTATCAAGCATTTTTTTAAAAAAATCCCCTTTTGTCCAAATGAAAATTTTCAAGTTTGGGGAATAACATGTAACACTTGTAGAAACCAGTTGATGGGGTGTGGACGAGGCTTCGTATCAACTCTCTGAGCTACACAAAGGGGCTTCTGTCAGTAGGTCTAGTAGTCAGCAGATCTAGGACCGTCTTGTTTGGTTGTTCAGTGTGCACCCTGCACAAATTTATGGGCCAAGTTGCCCCATGGGTGTTGAAATCTAGCCCATTTTCTACTTATCAAGACTTGGGTTCTGGCTGAGAGCTGTGTTCATTTGCTTCACAGAGCAGCAAGCACCCAGAGGAAGTTTCTTTTCAAATTCGTCCACCCAGATGGTGATCTTTGGTATACAGTTCACGCAAAGACAAGCAATGGTCCCACGTGAATGCACTTTGAAAACCATAAGTGTTTACCAGTATGTGGGATTTGAGGTTCCATTGTGAGTCCCCAGTTTACTGGTAAATTCCCAAACAAGCTCAGTACGTTTTCTTGTCCCAGACTTGGAACATTGACGGCTCAAGTGTGGCAAGGGGCCAACAATCAGTTGGAAGAGCAGTGACTGATAATGTCACTAAACTATAAAGGAACACACCAGGCAAGACCTTGTCTGGGCAGAGTCCCCTGCTGTGATTTTTGAGGGTGACTATAAATATCAGGCCTAGGAGACCAAGGGATCACAGTAATGATGGCTGTTTTATAACCACTAAAATAACATCCTTATTTTACAATCAGGAAATGATGACCCTGAGAAATGACTGCTCATGTCAAGGTCACAAGGTGGTAGAGCTAGGACTGGAATCGGAAGCTTGCTAGCTGTGATCCTTAGGTTTGCTCATTCACTGTGTGATCATAAGGGGATCTTCCTCTCTGGCCTCCTTCTCCCAAACACAGAAGTTTGTATCTTGGAGATGCTTGAGGAGCGGTCCCATAGGCTTCATGCCACATGGGAAGTCTAGGAATGTGACACCATGTGATGTCAACCAAAGAGGCGGCTTCTACAACAGTGGCTTCTGCAGGGGAAAAAAAAAAAATGCTTCCTCAATCATCCCTGGTGCTGAATCAGCCCTGGGAGTCACCTCTCCTTCCTGGACTGCGCCACGGCCACTCCAAACAACAACAATAACAATAACAACACTAATGATGGTAAGCACTGTCATCAGCTTGCTTGGTCCAGGCTGTGCACCTTTGATCTGGGGATCTCCAAGCATGTTGCCAACTTGGTCCAGTGGCTAGTGTCATTATCTCCCTTTTTACAGACACAGAAAATGAGGCACAAGAAATTTAAGCCAGGGGCTTGAGGTCATGTGGGGCATCATTAGTGGGGACATGGGAGGGAACTCAGATGGTTAGCTCTGAAATAAAAGCTCTAGGCACTTAACAGGCTTTTGGTTGGCCATGGTACGTTTTATGAGAACTGTCTATTTTTATAAACCATGCCATAAAAGTGAACACCAATCATTAGATTTCATTTCAAACACGTCTTGCACAATCTTAAATACTGTGACAGTGTTGCAGATGCTCACCTGATCTGAGTAGCCAGTTGCACATACAGTCCTCTATATTACTCAAGTGGCCCCCCAATGCTCCAGACAGGTGACCTAACCTTTTTTTTTTAATCAAGTCTTGAATCTGGCATCATGTGGCAGAAGAAGGAGCCTTGGGGAGCGTCTCAGGAGATCTCAATTTGAGTGAAATCTCTTCCTTAACTGGCTGTGCCATATTCGAGAGTAGACTTCAGCTGACCTCCTCCAGATCTTTGATTGTAATGTGGATGATTGGTGTGAAATCAGGATGTTATGTTTTTTAAAGTAAACTTTTGGTTTTGTGAAAATTCTACTACTTTTCTTCCAAACTTATGAGGTCTTGGAGAATGTCTTGGGTTTGAGCCTTTGGAATGCTCCCTGTCATCCCACTTGTTGGTATGTTACCTTTTTCAAAGATTTCAGACTTTTTTTTTTTTTTAATTGGAGATATATGTGGTAGCATGTATTTTCTTATATTTTGAAATTCTACATATTGATCTATTATTTTTAAAAATGTATTTATTTATTTTAATTAGGTATATATGATATACCTAAGCATTTTGATTCATTGTACATAACTGCAGCACAACTTTTCATTTCTCTGGTTGTACACAAGAGGCTTCAGACTTTTGAAGCAACAGGATATAGTCGGAGGTCAGTGAAGGAAACTGACACCACTCTAGGTATTTCCTGCAGAGGGGGATTCAACTCAAGGAGTTAGGAGCACAGAGAAGTTTTTGTGAGCTACTTTACAGATATGCATATTCATATAGGTTAGGCAATAAGTGTTCTCTTATGCCGGAGCATTTTCAGGGAGAAGTCTATGGTAGTAAATGGACTGAAGTCTGAGTCTGGGGGCTGAGAAAGGAAATTATGTATCAGTGGACCTGCTGGATCAGTAAGAGGGTCCTGAAGATGTAGTTCAAGGTCCTGGAAGGGCACAGACAGGAAGAGGAGCAGAGGGCTTCAGGCAGATTCTACACATCACACCTTTGCTAAGGCCCTCACCTGCTGGGGCATCCCAGGAAGATGTACCCAACTACACCCAGTTAAGTCACATTTCCTCTTTGGCTTGAGCCTGTTTTGGGAAGACACTCTCAAAACGATCCATCCAATTAGACTCTAGTGAAGAGAAGTAGGTCTGAAATATAATGCCTGAATATTCTGCTTTGTCCAGGGGTCAGCTGCTCTGGACTTGGAGTTGGAAGATGGATCTGAAATCCTGATTAAGATTTCTGTGGACTTGTAAAATACAGCTGTGCCATCCTGGATAACTTGCATGACATTTCTGTACCTCTGTGGGTAAGACTAAAAGAGATAATGCATAGTAGGGACTTGGTAGACCCAAGCTCTGGTCCCCCTTCCTGCTCACCCTGATCTCACTCTCTGCAAAATAAAAGGTCCTCTCCAGAGCTTCCTCCAGGGTCACAGGTCTCCACAGTTTTCTCAAAGGACAGAGGAGGTGACCAGGAGGCTGAAAAGCATCTGGATTCTGTCTCAGGTAAGGTTTAGTTTGGGGGGGAAAAAAAAGTTCTGCTGCTAGAATAATCTCTGTAATTCCTCTGGACCTGCTGATCCTCAAAATATCTACTCACTAATACATTATAATCCCAAGAAACAGTAATGTTTAGGAAAATGCCTTAAAAATGTCAACACATATGCCAGGCATGGTGGAGCCACTCGGGAGGCTGAGGCAGGAGGATTGCAAGTTAGCACCTAAGTGGGGCCATAAGCAACTTAGCAAGAACTTGTCTCAAAATGAAAAACAATGGGGATGAGAATGTGGCTTAATGGTTAAGCACCTCTGGGTTCAATTCCTGCTACCAAAAAAAAAAAAAAGGTCAATACACTATACATATATAAAGCTAGACTTTTTTCACCATACTTTTATGATGATGATGATGATGATGATCATCATCATCATCTTTGCTTAAATCTTGGTCAGGATGGGTTGCAGTATCAGTCCCCATAAGCCTTCTCAATAGCTCCCCCATGACTGAGAAGCCCATTTAAAAGGAGACTATGTGGGACAAGTGAGAATTCCTTGTCTTATCTCTTCTTGGGAAGGATTGTGTTCACAATTCAGCTCCATGCATTTATTGATACAACTTTGTCTAATAGAGTGATAGTTCTCTCTCTCTCTTTTTTCTTTTCTTTTTTTCTTTTGTGGGGAGGTACCAGAGATTGAACTCTGGGTGCTTGACCACTGAGTCATGTTCTCAGCTCTATTTTGTATTTTATTTAGAGACAGGGTCTCACTGAGTTGCTTAGTTCCCTGCTATTGCTGAGGCTGGCTTTGAACTCTTGATCCTCCTGCTTCAGCCTCCCAAGCTGCTGGGATTACAGGTGTGCACCACCGTACCCAGTAATACTGCCGTCTTAACACTCTATTTTTTAAGTTGTGTTACGTGGGCATTTTTCATGTTATGTGCTTTCATATGTTTGCATTCGGACTTTCGTAATATTTCATAATTTATGAATGCCCAACTCAAGTCCCTGCTATCCTTGTAGCATTGTTACTACTGGCCGACATTTTTCACCCCCAGCAGCAGCACTTCTGGCTGTGTGCCTTGGGCAAGTTACTCACCGTCTCTGAGACAGTGTCCTCATCATAAAGTCGAGATGAAAGAGTCTCCACCTCACAGAGTCCTTAAGATGAAAGGAGCTAAGCAATACCAGCACTGAGTACCTGAAATACAGTAAGTACTGGAAGCTGTGTTTGCATACAGCATCTCCGATCTACCTAGCAACCTTGTGCGAGATGAGAAAACACCGTCAGACAGGTCTGAGCCAGGAAACCATGCTGCTGTGATTCGAACCCAAACAACACCTTTTCTCTGAACCAGGCTGATTGCTACAGGACTGGTACCATGGATTGACCAGTTGCCTCTATTTCCCTCTCTCCATCTTCCTCCGGGTCCTCCAGACATCTAGCACCCATGGGACTTGCTGAAGGATGCTGTGTGCACACTTGTCCTCAGGCTCCCGGAGTCAGTAAAGTGTGGTCCCAGCTCTTCCCTGTGGCCGGCCCGTGTGCCTAAGGCACAACTTTCTATTGGCAGAAGAAACCTCTGCTCGTCTTCCAGACCCTGCCAGCAAAGGCCACAGGCCATTCCCAGAATGCCCTTGGGCAGCAAGGTGCGGACCCAGCAGGTGTGTCCCGAGCTTGGCAGCCATCTTGCCTGGGGTTAACAAAGGGTAATTAAGTCATCCCATAAAACTCAGTGGCGGAGGCTGAGGTTGTGGTTGGGAGCAGGTTGGGAGCAGGCCAAGGCTGCTTTGCTTTCATCGAGTCTGCGTCGTCCCTCACGTCTCCTCCCCAGGCTCAGTGCAGGGGATGAGAACTGAATCTATGTCCTCCACTCACTAGCTGGGTGGCCCAGACAAGTGACTTAACTTCCTCAAGTTGTCGTTTCCTCATCGTAAATGGATGACAGTGATCTGCAGAGTTGTTGAATGGCTTGAATGATATGATGGATTGAAGGGTTTTGTAAGCTCTGTGACTGCGAGTTCAGATAGTGTTTTGTAGATGAAAGAAAAAGGCGAGTCCTGACAGCTAGGCGCATCCCACTCCTTGAAAACTGCCACCCCACCAGCCTCAAGCCCCTTGTTGGCTCAAAGCCACTTTCAGAGTAAAACACATCGCCTTGACCCCTGTGCTCACAAACCTCTCCTCCTCTTCCCTAATGCCAACTCTGAGCTGCAGTGGGGTGGCCTCAGGGGTAGTGGAGGGCAGGAGGCCTCACAAATTGATGTTTGAGGAAGGTCCTCGGTTCTCTTGGAAGAGGCATCCTGGTGAAGCAGAATGAGGCAGATGTGCAAGTGGGAACGTGGGTGAGTTGCTTAACCTCTCTGAGCCTGAGTTTCTTCCTTTACAAGCCAGGAAACATAATGCCTTTCTCCTACATGGTTCTACAGCTCCACTGAGATGATGCCGGTAGAGAGGCCACACGGGATTGGTAGGCAGCCGCAATACTGATTGAGGCAGCTGTTATAACTGGTCTGAGACCATCCTCCAGGAAAAATAGACCCACCACGCTGGTCCTAGGGGCAACTTCTGTCCACTGATTTCTTTTTGACATTTTTCTCGATTTTCACTGGACTCAAATTTATCCTGTATACAGATCTCAGGGGGTGAGCCGCAGTGAGGTTGGCACAGGCATAGTCTTGGGTTTTGCCCCGAGGGCTTGTGATTTTACGCCGTCTCCTAACTGATGCTGACAGAAGAGGGCTGGGGGGATGGAGTCCGTGTTAAGTGGTATCTGAGAAAACAGAGATGTGCACACGGAATATCGACTCATTCAAGACAGAATTGCTGTTCCACGTCTAGAAGCAAAGGTTGGGGGCTTGGTTCCTGCCCTCCTAGGGGTTACAGTCTTGTAGGATAACAGATAAGTAAATTCAGTAGGTTAAAGGCCCTAATGGCATTAATGGGGGTTGTGTGCCCTGTGTTCTTGGAGTGCTAGGAAGTCATTTGGTCCAGGTTTGGCAACTTTGGGAAGGTCCCTTTCAACTCCTGAAGATGGGGCCTGCTGGACTCCCTGTTGTCCTGTACGGGTCTTTTCAGCTCAGAATTTTTTTTTTTTTTTTCATACGGAGGCTCCAATTTCACACTCAAAAAAAAGGAAGGGGCAAAAAGGGACAAGCTTGTTTCTGTGTATATATATATATATATATATTTCTTGTCCTTATTTGGGAAAACAGAACATCTTCTGATCAAATGCTCATTGGCTTGACCAACCTGGGGACTTCCAGGGAGAATTCTCACTGCCCAGAAGAATGACTAAAAATGACCATAAGAAACCAAAAGGAAGAAATCTTCCTTAAAACCCCCAGCGACACAGATGAAAGAAGTGTGACTGCAGTTGGGGAGGGAGGAGCCAGATGGCCAGGGTGAGCCCGGGTCCCTTGAGAACAGATGGGCTGAGCGTAGACAGGGCGATCCTGCAGGTTTACTCTGGTGCTGATTTAATAGGGCTTCTCCCGGGGGAGCTTTCTCTTATGGGTGTCGGATGTTTCAGCAGGATTTGTGGAGAAATTGCTTCCGCCATCTTATTTGGTTCTTGCAAGGACCCCAGTGTGTGGGGGGAAGGCACAGAGTTGGTGAATCTTAAGAGCTGCATGCATCCGGGAGCACGCCAGAGCAGGAAGGCACTTCCGCCTCTGAGGTTCACCAGGTGAACCTCAGGAGCAACCAGTACCAGCACTATGGTGAGGGGCTGCCTCCCGGGAGCTGTGGCCAGAGCTGGGAGGGTGCTATTATCCCATCACTAGCCCAGTAGGAGGGAGTCAGGGAAGGCCAAAGCTCACCTCCCTCTTGGGTTGCCTTCCAGGGTCCTGCTGGGATCCCCTATTGGCTGACTCTAGAAGCCAGAGGGCAAAAGGAGTTAGCAATGTGGTCTCCTCTTGAGACACAGAGCAGGGCTCCCTGGGTCTTCTTGGCGGACTTTGCAGAGCAAGGAAGCAGAGCCTAATCAATGCCTGGCAAGAGACTCTCAGACCCCTGAGACCCCAGGATCCAGGAAACCCAATCTCAGGGCCCCAGCCAGCAGTCACTGACGCTCTGCACCTGGCCCTCTCTTTCTCTTCCCCAGGGGCAAGGGGGCATGAGCCAGAGGGACTGGTTGGCTAAGGGAATTCTCAACTCTGCAGTGGAGGAGAGAAGAAACCCATGTTCTTTAACTTGCCCTTACCCTGAAGATGAGGGGTCGGCTCTGCCCCAAAGACACAGCTGTTCTTTCCATTCCCGGGAGGGGGAGGAGAGGCCGGCATCTGCGGGGCATCTATCACGTGAATGGATGTGTTGCCTCTGTTAATCCTTCGGTGATTAACTCATGGAAATAAACAGCTCCAGAGTCAGCTGTCTTTGGAGGAGGTACGCAGGCCTGGCTCTCGGAAATCTGGTGACGCTCACAAGTTGGACATCAAAGCCTTCCCTCCTCTCTGATTCCCGCGAGACCCACCCAACCCCATGGGCTGAGCACCCAGGTCTCTCTGCTATCAGGAGGAAATAGAATGTCTGATGGATTCACTCACTCAAGGTGTTAGGAACTTAGTGTGTTGGCCCTCCCAGGAGAATCTGTGTTTTCCAAGGCAGTCAAGGAGTGGGTGGTGCTGAGCCCAGAGGAGTGAATCAGTAATAGTGGAATCTCAGGCATTTCTGGGGTGGGTGCCTTCCTGACACCCGTTCATATCATACAGAGGAGGAGGCCACCTATTGTCCCCCGAAAGGAGGTTGTCCATCTGGGCGTGGTGGTGAGGGTGCGGAAGCACAGGCACCTCTAAGCTGAGGCCAGGGTTGTCTTCTTTCCAAAAACCAAATCTGTTCCTTCAAAGGAGCAGCAGCTTCCAAACCTATAGACTCTCTGAGCATCTGGAAAAACCCCTTGCCCTCCCTCTCTGAAACCGCGTTCCCTCCACCCAGGACACGGTGCTGTCCTTACACAATGTCCCTGTTGGCAAAGCTGTTTGAGCCCCTTGTTTCCAGGTCCGTGTGTCATT